AGGAAAATCACTCAATTAAAAAAAAAGTCACTTTATTTTTTTTCAAGTAAAACGTGCACGACACGTATGACATGATGCTAACTATAACATTAAAACCTAATTATGAACATTTTTCATTTCGTTGACGGAACTATTATTTTCATGCAAAAAACTAACCTCTAGAGAAAAGACCGATGCATTTCATTGCATGCTTGCACTGTTGGTAAATACTGCAATGCACTCATTCATATTGTTTGTAAGGAACAACATTAAGAATTATAACCATTATCATCATCACCTATGAAGCTTCCTAAACTTCTGAAATGCATGCACTGCCTCCTAGCTTCGCATTTTTTTTCTCAAGTCCCCAGTGCCTTTTGGCCTCACCTTGTTCCTTGCTCAACCGCGGACACATTCTCTCTTCGTGGCTCGCCTCTCTAGGACACTTACCTCGAAGATCTTCTTAGTAACATCGACCTGGAGTTTGGTCAGCATCTCCAGGTCCTTTTCCTCCAGGAGGCGGTCGCCGTACACGCGCTGGGTCTCGTGCAGCCAGCAGCGGAGGAGCTCGATGGGCGCCTTCACCGTCTCGCCCGTGCAGAAGAGGAGGCCCTGGGGGAGGTCTTTGTCGTATAAAAGTGTGGTTGCTGTGCATAAGTTACAATTTTATTCATGTTCCGTTCTGCCATTATGGGACGCGCGGTGGAAGAGCAATGACACTATGTCTAATTGACCCGCAACCCCCAATAAAAACTTAATATATGCTACTCAGATTCTGATATAGAAAATCATCGTACACAGGATATCCTTCATTAAGAATTGGAGATTGCTCATATCACCTGAGTATCAAATACCAAGTTATCAACACCGTTTAAAAATCTTGATATACCTGGAAGATGTTGGTAAGATCCCGTAGGTTAAAGATGTAATGGAACTTGGTAGCTGTTGGCATGAAAGTAGCGGCGACTTTCTGATGCAGCTGGAGGGCGGCCTGTACCATGGGCTCCGTCATCTGGTTTTGGCATCAAGAACAGGAGCCATTTACATCCACATAGTTATTTCTGATTTATTTGTATTACTATTTTCATTGATACTAATAGTTCACATGTTTATTGTTAGTGAAGTTTTTCAGTTATATATAACGTATAATTAATATAATAGTTTCTGTAACGCTCTCTCTCTCTCTCTCTCTCTCTCTCTCTCTCTCTCTCTCTCTCTCTCTCTCTCTCTCTCTCTCTCTCTCTCTCTCTCTCTCTCTCTCTCTCTCTCTCTCTCTCTCTCTCTCTCTCTCTCTCTCTCTCTCTCTCTCTCTCTCTCTCTCTCTCTCTCTCTCTCTCTCTCTCTCTCTCTTCTCTCTCTCCTCTCTCTCTCTCTCTCTCTCTCTCTCTCTCTCTCTCTCTCTCTCTCTCTCTCTCTCTCTCTCTCTCTCTCTCTCTCTCTCTCTCTCTCTCTCTCTCTCTCTCTCTCTCTCTCTCTCTCTTCTCTCTCTCTCTCTCTCTCTTAAGCATAGAGGTCTCCCTCACCCGAGTGAGAGTTGGGTTGAACTTCATGGAGGAGCTCTTCAGGTGTTGATCCAGAAGCGATGAATATATTAAGTTAAGACTCTCCATGCAGGGAAAGCTAAAAGGCATAAATACAATTAATATCACTCTCCAAGTATGGAAAGCTTTAACGTATAAAAATATTTTTGAATGCTTGCTGCATTTACAATGGAAAATCAAGGTAACTTTACTTTTCGCAATTTTGAAAACACTTTCGGAGTTACTTTTCTGTAAGCATTATTTACTACATTTATACGACTAGGTCGACAACACATCCTGTACCTGACAGCGAAGACATTAAAGTGGCGCTGGAGCCTAGGATTGATGGTGAAGGATCCTGCTGTGGGATTCATGGCGGCCACGTACTGCACGTTGTGGATGTCCTTGAGCGTGTGCTTGGTGCGGTCGTACCAGTGGCCGTAGTCCATGTGCTGCCGGATGAGCGTGTGGGGCTGCACCGTGCCGTACTGGTCAACCTGGCGAGCGGGAACGGAGGAACTCGGATGAGCACAGGAAGGAGCTGAGAGAGCTGAACTGATAGCAATTGATCGGTGAAAGTGCTATTAGAAATATCAGAAGGGTTCGGGACGTAAGCATCGGTCCGGAAACCCTCGCCTACCATGGGCATGTTGATGTCGTCGATGAAGTAGACGAGTTTCTTGTTCCCCGGAGGAGCGTAGTTCTTCCCGGCCTTCTTCTCCAGAGGTCTCTCCAGCACGCGCTGCAGCAGCTCTGCGGAGATGCAAATCGCTCTGAAAAAACTAACACTTTTGTCTATCATCATATTCTGTATATTCCTGTACATACTCATTGTTGATGTAAAAGATTTGGTGTTTGTCGTCTTAATTTTGGAGTCTTAGACTCCTAACCATTATAACAGTAGCGCAAATGCCTACAATATTGTTGTACAATAATTAGCATACAAAAAGCGGCAGAAGGTAGTTGTTACCTGAGGTAGTGTAGTAGTTAAAGGGGACGTTGCACACGGCGTATTCCTCCGACAGAGAGTTGAGCTTCTCGTTGAGCAGCGCCGACTTGCCGCAGCCGGAGGTGCCCACCAGCATGACGGGGTGGCGCTTGTGCATCAGGAGGTCGATGAAGAACTTGAGGCGCACAGTCTCGCTCGTGTGCACCATCATGGACTGTGTATGTGTGTGTGTGTGTGTGTGTGTGTGTGTGTGTGTGTGTGTGTGTGTGTGTGTGTGTGTGTGTGTGTGTAAATATGTTGTACAATTACACCAATATGAACGTTTTAATTCCAAATATCATTGTTATTGTTTGATTGTGGTTTTATGGCGAAACAATGCCGAGATGTTGTTGGTATTATGTGACAGCCGCAGAGAAGCAAAGAACATCAGATCAGTACAAACCTCGCATGGAACCCTTATACTCTTAACATATAATAGCAAGACAATATTAGGAGATAAGATTTCCTTACTAGCAACTCACACTCACTGACCTCGACAAGATCAGCCAGCATGCAAGTAAAAACATTAACTTATCCATATCCTATTATTTCTATTATCCCTTCCGTGTTTTGAGTGGGGTTATCTACATACTTTTCGATGATCCTAGCTGGATGATGGAAATGGTGAAATGGGACAGTGTTTATGTTGGCATACCTTGCAAGGCTAATCTAATGTGTATTTATTTAATGTTCTTAGTGTTTATCACATTAGATATTGTTATTATTATTATTACTATTATCATTATTATCATCTTTGTTATTATCATTATTATTACCATTATCATGATTATTATTATTATTATTATTATTGTTATTATTATTATTATTATTAAAATTGGTATTTTCATTATTGTTTTATCATAATAAATAATATCATAACTATTATTGATATTACTATCATAATTATGGCTATCATTATAACTGCCATATTACTTTTTATTTTTGTAATTTCCACTATTACTATCACTAATATATTTACTGGGATTATTATTACGAAATTTTATTCTTCTAATCTGTAATTGTTCTGAAATATTGTTATCGTTACTGACACATCTCTAAACTTATCATTAACATCAATATCATTTCATCTTTACGCTTATCCACTTTCATTATTGTTCTTTCACTACAGAGCCAATATTCAAGACTGTGGATCAAATGTTCAGATGAGAGTGGGGACTGTGAACTTTTATAAAGGTTGAACCTCACTAGTCCAGCTTTCAATAATATTCTGGCAGCTTCGATGGCTCGGAACTGTAGTGCTGTCACGGCTGGGTCACAGCAGACTTGCAGTGGATGATGATAATATGTCATTTTAGATTACAGCAATTATGCACGTAAATTTGCCATATTTTGAATCTTTGTTCTGTTTCACTGTACAGAAATAGACTGATCCCCCAATAATCTGGACTTGTAAGGCTACTTTTCAGCTAATGAAGTCAGTAAATGAATTTATCTGTGGATACTCAGAGTGTGAAGAACAGAGTGCCATTCTCTGGTGAGATTCCTGGGCCTGTATTTATGAAAGATCTAAAAGTGCCCTTAACGATTTCGCCTATGACGCACTGTGCTAAAGGTAAGACTACTAACTGGATTTATGTTTACATTGTAATACGTTGTAATACTACTCATTTTTGACGTAAACTTGGTACCCTCTATGTTTGAATGGCATCTGAGAAGGCGTGCAGCGCCATTTGCATTTTCGTATACAACACTACGTCAAACATGGAAACGACTCAACTGACGTTTCATAATTATTAACGTTTGGCAATAAAAGGTTGCTCAACGTTATCATTACCGATATGATGTTATCATGTAAAATTAGTTTTGTTATCTGCGTCTCAGAAGGTCAAACCAATTTAATACATTTCTGTAGGGAGTCAAAGACAAAATATCCAAGTCAAACATAACTCCGCATTAGTTCTGACAAGGAGAACGTGGAGGCCTATTTAAAATTATTGTGAAACATCACAGGCGATATCGCTGAGGTCAGTTTACAACCTTTCGTGAAAACCGGCCCCGAAACCTAACCAGTCTCTAGTTCGCACAAGAGACTTAACGTGTGACACATCATACAAATCTGACAAAGGATCTGGCTCGTGATACCGACACCTCGTGAATTTATTATGGTACGTGATTCCTTACTAGGCTTTGGAGCTTTTGATCACGATGCAGACTGACCCATGCATTGTTATTTAACAACTGTGGCCTGCACGAGGATGCATGCCTTACTTAACCAAAAGTCAAAGCCTGGAAAGTGCTTCCATGATGTCACATACTGAGTAACAACAGTTTTGTGTTTGGTAAGGAATTTCTGGATTCAGAATACATAAACAACCCCCTTATGACTAAATCAAACAAGCTAGAAATTAATCCTTTCGAAACTTCTTTATAAAGGAGTTGCCTTTTTACCAGGACATTATGGTCCACATTTAAGACTATTTATTATTAAAGTTGGCACTTAATAAATATGAATATTTACTTAAGATATTCCTAAGTACAATAATTTCAGTTAA